TATTAAAATACATTTTTATGAAGATAAAATATATCTAAATATTTGTGATCTGTCTTGTTATATTGAAACCATTGTGTCCTAATACATACATGCAAAAGCAAGGTTAATTAGAGAAAAACTTTCCTGTACTTTGTCATCTAGTATCTTCTGAAGATATTTGAAAGTTGTTCTTTTCATGGGTCCTAAATATCTATGAAATGACAAATGGAATGGTGATAGATGAGATGCCTTAGTTTAGTTCAGGGGTTCTCAAACTTCATTGCACCACGACCCCCTTCTGACAACAAAAAATACTACAGGGCCCCAGGAGCGGGGACCAAAGCCTGAGCTGATCCAAGTCCCGCCACCCTGGGGGAGGAGGGGAGCCAAAGCCCTACCTCCTCAGGCCTGGGGACCAAAGCTGAAGCCCAAAGTCTTCAGCCCCAGGCAGGGGGCCTGCAACCTGAAATCTGCCACCCAGGGCTGAAGCCCTGGGGCTTGAGCTTTGGCACCGGGCCCCAGCAAGTCTAAGCCAGCCCTGACAACCCCATTAAAATGGGGTCGCAACCCACAGTTTGAGAACCACTGGTTTAGTTTAATAATGGATCCTAACTTGTTAAAATCAAATGAGCAGTGCTGAAAAGGGCAATATTTACTGAATTTCAAAGCTATTGCATCTGCTCTCTGAACCATTTGAAGACTTTATTTTCATGTGCTCATTATTATTATTATAATTAGTTTAGTAGTGACCAAACATCTTAATCAGCACAGAGGCCCCATTGTGTTAGATACTGTACAGACATATGAGAATCCCAGGAAATACTGGAATTATTTTAATTCTGAAATTGAGAAAAAAAAGACTTTTTAAAAATTGCCTTTATTTCTGGGGGGGCGGGTGTCTAGGACCTTTCCCTTTCTGTCTGTGTGACTGTAGTTTTTTTCCCCAAACTAAATGGTTAAGGAGTTCTCAATCTCAGTGTGAAGTAAGAGGACTTCTGTTCTTACAGAGAAGATCAGTTGGACTAAACAGAGCACCAGTTACCAAGGGATACTTTCCCATCATAAATATTGCAGATCTCCAAGGTTATCTGGACCTCTTTACTAATTTATAGTTATGAAGCAAGGTTGCAAGCCATTAAGTACACCGTATTGGTCCATATTTTTCTTTCCTATTAGCATTCTCTTGATCTCTAATAGTGAGAGTTGAATTGATTGGGACATGCAGACTACATAGCTGAAGTCAGTGTTTGGGAAAATTATCCCAGAGCAGATAATTGTTCAATTGTTAAATGTTAGCTGGATTATAGCAACTGTTTATGTGTGGAAGCATCTATTATTACACCAACTGAGAATTATAAAGGTGACTACTGCTCGTCAACGATGGCCTCTTTAACTAGCTAAAGTATTGAAGCTGGCAGGGATAAATATTAAAATTATTAATATTTATAAAGAAAACAGGAAATGTTATCAAATTATGAACTGACAAACTGATAACTTGCAGGCATGTTGCCAGTTCTACAATAAACAATGTAGTTTATTGATGTATTTTGACAGTAATAAACCAGGATTGGGGTGTTTTTTTGGTTTTTGTTGTTGTTGTTGTTGTTGAGGATGGGAGGGGAGTTGTCTGTATGTTGCCCTCTTAACCATATCACTACAGTTGAACCTTTGAAAAACAAATTTGAGAAATTCTGTTCTGTGTGTTTTTTGTTTTGTTTTTAAAAAAGGAATATATAGGAGTCTAATATACAATCCTGGAGATATTCTGTATCTCTCATCTCAAATCACACCCTAACATAATTTTAGATAAGATAGAATGAATGCATTTCAGAATAAATGTACTGTGGTTTCTCATACATACCTGGGGCCTATGTCTTTTCCATTAGTAAATAGATGATTTTTTAATAATGATCTGTTACGTTTGTGTCAACTCAAAACTAAAGCACTTTGCTCCTGCTGAGACAGAGTCCATGTTTATTAACCATGCATTGGTATTGTCTCTCTTGATAATTAATGGTAGAAAATATTATTGAGGTATGGAGGAGTGAAAACAGGAAATCTAGTACTCATTATTTTAATATCTTTAACGTGATCTACACTGTTTTCAAATTTTTTTCTACATTGGTTTCTAGGTATATTTTTATGAATGGTAGTTATTGCTACATAGTCCCTGGACAAATATTATGTGGGCGCTCATTCAGCATAACTGTGCACTAAAGGCCTTTTAGTGGATTACCTGTTTGACAAGGACCTGTGGTTGATGCATAGGAGACTTAGAACTAGCCAACTGATGTACAGAGAGGTTGGTGGCCTGTGGTTGGGTTACCATGTTGGGCGAAGGTTGTCCTCTGGCATTTCTAGTAGCACTGCCACTAACAGACCCTCTTCCCTTCCTTCCTTTATACTCCACAAGAGTGTGCCAGAGGAGGAGAACCAATCAGGAAGCAGCTTTGGAGAAAAAGTTGAGAAGACAGTCAGGGAAATGAGTTTCAGACAGAAAGAACAATGGTTACTCTTTTGTTATGTCAAAAGATAATCAAGATTGTTTCCCACCAAAATCCCACAGTGTATCCTGATCAGCATTATTGATTGTTTGGTGAAATCCTCCTGATCAGCATTATTGATTGTTTGGTGAAATCCTGGCCCCACTGAAGTCAGTAGGATTTTTGCTGTTGAATTCCTGGTTGCAGTGAAGTCTAACCTGTGCCTACGTAGGAAATAAAATAAAAAGCATGCAAACTTCATTGCTAATAGAGTGTAAAAGCACCCTGTACACTCTTATACAGACCAGCTATAGTAAATGGTAAAGTGTGCTGTTATATGGCTTCAGCATACTGAACTGAAACTGCATATAAATCTAATAATAGGGAAGAGAAGCCTCAAAAGGTTGGATGCTTATCCAAAATATCTGAACTGATTGAGGACCAGGCTCCATTTCCATCCAAACCTACCTTGTATTGTCTTCTGGTGGGGAAGGACTGGTGGCCTGCTACCTGCTTCCATACTCCCTGATATCTTTGGTCAAACAGCTATTCTCTTGGATTCACCTTTGGGGTAGAGGATGATCAGTGACCACAGGAAACACATCTCATTTCTTTGTGTGTATTTTTCTTAGGAGTAGCCACCCACACACACACGTGAACTGCAGCAGGGAGAAATAGCTCTTATCTGGGTCCCCAATTGCAGACTCTGACATTTTGGCACCTTAGTTTGGCCTTCCCCCCAGCAGCGTGCATCAGACCTTTTTCAGCTCCCTGGGCCATGTATGGTTAATACCAGTTGCTTCAGAAGAAGTTATAAGAGCCCTGTAGTAGACAGGTGTGGGCTATTCTGCTCCTCCTCTTCCCCTATTAGGTCTTACTCTGGTCTTTAATAGTTCGACTGGCTTAAACCCTGAAACATGAGATTTAATATTCCTTCAAAAAAATCAAGTGGATGATGACCGGATATTCCTTATCCATATAAATGTTCAATCTCTAATTTAATCTTGCTAAAATGTCCAGTCCCTTTGATTTCCTGTGGCAATGAATTCTGCAATGAAAATCTGCAATTTGCCACCTTTTCATTTCATTGACTGTCCCCTTTGTTCTTATGCCATGAGCCG